GTGCCATGGCGGCCTCAGGAAAGGCATGGCCCCTGCGCCCCGTACCGGCTCAGCGCTGCTCAGGACACCTCTTCCCAACCTGCCCAACATTGCTGCACAGGCCTCGGGTTGTTCAGCTCGCATTTTCCTCCCCTCACGTGTGAAGGCATCACGATGGCTGTCTGAGTCCTACAGTTAATATGGGTGCGCGGGTCCATAATGGTACATTGTAAGTGAATGTCTCAGGGTAGACAGCAATAATAATTAGCTGTCATGATTTGAAAAAAGGATAATCCATGCCATTGAGTTAACAATCACTCACACAACACACATGGATTTAACTAATCTTAATTTGGAGAAAAATAACAATTCTAAATATATCAAATAGCCTATTTCATGGCAACCTGCGGCGGTGTTTATCTCTGGCTTCCAGCACATGCGAGTTATTTAGTTTCTCTCACTGGCAGTTTTACCATTCAAAAGCCTGAAATGAACATTCATGGAGCAGGGGTTGCAGTTAAATCCTGCCTCTGACAGGGAGCCTTTTTTCATGATGCACATCTAGTTCAAGTACATAATGTATGTAGCCCAGCACTGGTGGCCGGGAGGGGATGAACAAGGAATTCAAATCAACCCCTTCCCCTTCCCTAGCACTGTCTTTGCAGAAATTAACTACGCTGTCTTAATGAACCTCTGCTGCTGGTGTGGTTCTGTTGGTGAGGGTACGCTGACCAGAGCATGCAGACCAGGCAGTGAAGCTGGAGGTCTGGTCCAAGTGGTGCCTGCCCCACCGAGGCTCCCTCCTCTGCCAGGGTTCTCTGAAACCATCCAGCATTAAAACCAAGATGACTGGTGCTTTTTCTTTAATCTGGATTGTTTCAGAGAGCTGTGCTGAAGAGCAGCTGGTGGCCCACGAGCCCAGCAGGGCCATGAGGAGGGCAGGAGATACCATCAGTCAAAGAACAGCGGGAGCCAGCTCCCCAGGGCCTTCTTCAGCCAGGACAGGTCACCCAGTTATGCCCAAGATCTGATAAATATGAAAGATAAAAAGAGGTATAAAATACAGCAGTGGTCTAATTTTTTCCAAAATACCTGCCAGCGGTGAAGTGAAAGAAGCAGTGACTGATAACTCCTAGCCAACTCATTGGCCTGGCTGTGTTTTGCTGTGCGGCAATCTGGTACATCTGTTCGATACTATCACACCCTCTGTACGAGAGGCAGAACTGATTTTCAAACAGGTCAGCCAATTTGAAAAAAAAAAAACCACCAAACTTTACAGGACAAACTGCTCCTAAGCAAGTCACGTCCTACCAGTGCCAGCTAACATGCTACCACACACCGTATGGACAGTGGTAACTAAGTGAAAGAGCCTTGAAAAGCATGGATTTGCAAGTTACCAGCCAGGGAAAGATGATAGACTTCATTAGCAGCAGGTCTTTAAAGGTTGGTTGCAGAGATGAAGTTGCCTTTGTCTCTACGGATACCTAGAAGTGTGAGCTGGAGATCTGCATTGTGTGCCTGCAAATTCTTGCAGGCTCCTGAGCTCTACCTGCCTCCCTTGAAGCGGCACAAGGTCTGTTACGTGGTCAAGAGGCATGCAGTGACCAGAGCAAGCAGAGGGGAAGGCAAAAAGAAAGAGAGGAGATCGCAGGACTCCGGAGTACCCTACGCCAGGGTTAGCGCTCGGGGCAGGTGCTGCATCCCAACATCCTCACGCCCGGAGGGAAGAGAGGGGTGATGGCAGAGCCAAGCTCAGCGCTTGTCGTACCCTCGCTACACTCGGCCATGGGAGGCTATAAGGTTTGGCAGCTTAGTCACACTGCAGAAGGCCACACAAATCATTTCGACCAGATAAGAAGGTCTACAAAAACAACACAAGATCAAGGAGAGGAGATGAAACCTATTTGAGGGCAGCAGTGGTGGCAGCGTATTTCAGGGAGCCGGAGTGGCGAGTGGGTGATTTCTGGTTTCCCTCTTCAAATATAAAGACTCAATTATCTTTGAACAGCTTGCTTTACACATGAATTGACACATTTATTTTACAATAAATAACTGAAAGTTATCTATGTTTCCTTTACTGTTAATCTACACAAAGAAATAATAAACAGAGCTTGTCTACAAAAATGCAACTACTGCAGTCCTCAGAATTCAATTAAGCTAAAATAATTAATGCTTCCACCATATTAAATTACTTTATACATTTGAGCCACTGAAGTTTTTTTATTCTTTAATCTTTTTCGCCTTTTTATTTAATAAAAAAAAAGTTAGTTTCAAAGTGGGGGGGGGCTGGCTAGGAGGGGGAAAAAGAGCATGATTTGCTGTTAAAATGTAATGGTCTCCTTTAGCTGACACAGCATGTAGAGTGTTTTGTGCCTTTGATTAAAATAACATTTTAAATGCTTTGAACAAACATATCTCCCCATACTTCTAAGGGATTATTTTACATATTTCTTGGTGGAATAAAGAAATTCATTCTTCCTGTCGCAGTACAGAAAGGCTAAGAATATCTTTCGTCACATATAAAGTAAAAATACTGTAGGCTGTTGCATTATTACCAAAAAAATAAAAAAATAAAGGGAGGGGGTGGCGGGGTGGGAGAAAGCTGCCTTAGAGATTAAGTTTCCCTTTTATGAAATCGTATTTAGTCTCTTTTTTTAACAAATCTAACAACAATGCTCTACAGCCGCTCACTGGGAAATACCTTTAATGTTAAATGCAGATTCTGATTTTCTTGGCTAATGCAGAAAGCCTTTCTATTGAAATATAAATAAGGGGTTTGGTATATCCCACTAAAGCCTTTCCAGTGAATGACTTCTGTGGGTTTTTCATGGCTACCCTCCATGGCTGTAATGTGAGGCTTTTATCCTACTATTGAAAACTATCTGCTGCTATTAAAAAAAATATGGAAGGACATTGCACCTTTTTATCTCAGAGCTGGGCTCCTAATTGAGAAAGCATTATTACTGCACTATTTAGTGGATGTCCCTATCTCCGTGCACTGCTGAGAAAATGCCAATCAAATGATAAACCCTTTTATTTTTCTCAATTCAAAATCTTTCCTACATATTTTCATTTGATATTCAGTTTAGTCTGAAAGAGATTAGGTGCTCCAGATTGGCTTTTAAATTTTTTTTTTATGCCTTTTCCACGCGTGAACATCCCCTTCACCTCCCCCCCCACCTCCAGCAGATTTTCCGCATGGCAAAAGCGTTAGTTACAGTGATGCTGACCCCCAGAAGCTGGGACAGGACGGCACCCTCTGCGCTGGCTATAACCATCGAGGTACTTCACTATGGACTGGACTTGGGCACAGATTAGTAAGAGATGAGATCTGGACTGCTACTACAGCGCAGGTCTCCCAGACCAACCTTACTAAGCACTTGGGCACCCTCTGCAAGGGGCTGAGCACCGTCGGCTCGCGCAGAGATCAACAGGTATTGAGAGTGCTCGGCACCGTTCAGGAGGCTTTCAGCAGACTGGAGGAGAAGGTCCCGAATACTTCTCTTCTGCTCCCACCAAATGAGAAGGAAATCTAGCCCTCAAAGCTGCTACACCATGAGGTAGTCATCTCTGCCAAGAAACGCATTCACAACTGCAAAAGGATGGGGAAAGCTGAAAAAGGATGCAGAACACTGAAGAAAGATGAGGAAAGGACAGGGTCAGGTCTTACAGTAGGGTTGCTTACAATGCTAGAGCACAGGCTTCCACTGCTAATGCCCCCAAAGCTACTAGTTGCCCCACACCAAGATGGTGACTGCACCCAAAAAAGATTCCTCGAAGACAACAACGTAGTCAATGGGGGGCCTATGCCCTCTCCTAAGAGGCAGATCATCTGGAGATCTGAAGACTGCAGCAGTTCAAAACCCACATCCTCATTTATATGATGGCCAAGACTGCCAGAGATGCTGGGGACTGACTCAGAGACCTCCAATGCTAAAGGCAGGAATGTCTTAAGCTTCAATTATAAAGATAGGAGCCTCTCACCTCAAGACTTCTTCTTGGGATGAAGGGAACATCTCTACTAAAGGCAGGATCCTGGACCATCAGATCTAATGCTGTAGGATAATTCCTACAGAAATCGGGATAGTGGCAGCAAAGACAAATTGCCCGTGCTCTTCTGTATGGGATACAGTCAGTTGGAACAAAAAAGGCCTGTTTGAGGGGAGATCCTGCTGTGTAGCATAAAACCCCCACTCACTAGCAGGGAGCAGAGCCTTCCTTTCAGTGCTGCAGAGGGGAGAAACGCCCTGCGTGACGGAAGTGGCCCCACGCCGGGCGCTCTGCAGGAGCCGTGCACAGCAGCTCGCCCACGTGGATACCATCGCCCGCTTGCCCTCCTCTGAGCCGGGGAGGTCCGCTGAGTAAATGTTAACTGCGCCATGTATGAGAGTTTTCGCAAAAGAAATGCCTGCAATTTGCTCAGCCAGTCCAGCCTGTGCCCTTGCCTCCTCACTCAAAAGCCCCATTTGGGGCATGCATGTGAACGGAGGTGTCGCCCATCCAACTCCACCCATCTGCAGAGACGCAGGACAGGCAGCACAGGCAGCAATGCCGCCCACGGCCACTGCAGTCAGTGGGAAGAAGCTTTTTCCACTGACTTCAGTGGGGTTGGGATTTGGTCCTTCCCAGTGGGTCTGCGTGTGACAAAGGGTATCTGAACTGGACTGAACTGAGCATCTCACCGAAGTCTCCTGTCCCTCCACCACTACTACCTGCTTAAGGATGCTCCAGAAATGGTTTCTGACCCCAACTTTCTGCTTTTTCCTACATGTCCAGGCTGTCCCTTGGCTCTCCAGGGGACTGAGAGGCCGCTCTCTCTGGGAGCTGGCCCTGCACAGATAGCTACACTGAATTAAACATGGGGTGGACAGCCCTGCTGAGCCCTGCGTAACCGTGAGGATCCTCCAGACTGATGGCTCCTATAAAGACCTGTTACTGAAGCCTTTGTTTCATGGCACTTTCTAGAGGGCTCTCGTTAAAAGATTACCTAGGCAGTTGATTGAGTGTAAAACATGCTGTACCTGCAATGTTCTCCTGCTTGGGGCAAATTCCTTTTGTAGGCGTGAGAAGACGGTCTTCTTCATCGGGTGTGACTTGGATCCCGATTTCCACTGGCTCTGACACTTTCCTGAGCTCGGCGCGTGAGGAGGGGGGAGGGCTGCTCTTATCCATGCTCTTTTCATAGCAGGCACCACCAGTGCCATTGCACTGTTTTCTCTTGTGCTCTATAAAAACCAAGATGTCTCCCAGCGGGAAGTTCATCTGACACTGTCCACAGGTTAACAAGTCGGGGTCTGTCCCGCCTGCGGCGATGCTGATGCTGCCCGGCTCTGCTATTGCCAGGCTCTCATCCTCGTCGGGGAGTGCCGGTTCCACATGGTCAGCCTCTGCTTTACATTGACAAGGAGAAAGAGGGAGGAAAGGGACGAGGGGAGAAGAGAAAGAGATTGCTTTGAATGTTCACAGACTCTGAAGGATGCATCACGGGAGGCCCAGCCTCCCCCCACCCCACCCCCCCAAAGAAGCCAAGCCTGATTAGATCTTTTATTTTTCAGCTTTTCCGCTCTCCCAGAATGATTTCAATATATTTTGCAACCAAGCCTGCCTGAAACAAAATGGAAAGGCTGACCTGGCATAGCTTTCCTGACAGCTCCTTCCCACTGCTGCCAGCACTGCAAGGGTATCAGCAAAGAGCCATTTTGCAAACGTTCGAGCCCCGAGTCACTTTCTGAAATAGTTCCTCTCTTTTTATCCCACCTTCTCATTCCCACCTCATCTCCCAGCCATCTGGCCAAGGCCCCATCCAGCAAACCTTATGAGCCCGAACCTCTCCTCCTATTTCAGAGACAGGGGGGGAAAAGCGCTCACGTGCTCCGAACAGGTAGGATCAGGCTCCATGTGGCACACAAAATTAGTACCACCTTGTCCCATTACAAAGATACCAGCAAGGTTAAATGACCACCCATTAGCACGAATTACAGCAAACTGTTTGCAAGAGCAAGGTAAGCAGGATACAGTCTTGGGAGAAGCTAAGGGGTTTCAAAAGTCTGTACAGTAGGGAAGAGAATGAGGCACTTATTTAACCTACTGGAATATTGGCTGAGCCTGAAATCTTCCACTCATTTTCCTGATGTCAAATATCCCTGCAGTTGCTATATAGGTTAATAAAAGTTTTTTGTTTAAATCTTGCCCATGGACCTGATTGATAGACTTCCTACCATTACCCCCAAAGACTGGGAAAGCATTTCTGAGTGACCTGCATCAGTTTCTGACAAAGACGTAACTTCCTGCTTCACAATTAATAAAACACAGTGTGTTTTTAATGGCTATTTTAAAGATAATTCTTACATTATAAAATAATTATGGATCACGATCCATTTCTGGGGCAAAATGTGTTTTCTGGTTTGTTTTCTCTTGTTCTCCCGTGTAACTGCCAAATCATACAACCCTTGGTCTTTACTCGGGCAAAATTTCCACTGACTTTTGCCTAAGGCTGTTTTGCCTCTGCAAGGACTATAGGGTTTGGGCTGAACAAAACAGAGGAACTAACAGTATGTAAATCAGCGAGTGAGACCTCTAATCAAATCAGGATTAAAGGAATAGGAGGAAAAATGTTCTCTATTAGCCCGAGCGGCTTGCTTATGGATTTCCTGGGGAAAGCAAGACACACAAATACCTCAAAGAAGTGAGACTGAGATAAACAGATGTTATAATCCAGATCTGGAGTCTCCTCCTGGCTGAAAACAAAAGCAGTTTTGTCCCACTCTTCACCAAATTGCAAAAAAAAACCCACATAGGAAAGGGGCAAGAAGTAGAAGGTGAAATGCATTACCTGGCAACAAAAATGGTTGAGCCTTGAAAAAGGCAGTTTAGAAAAAGAATCGCCCCCATTTTCGCCTTCCAGAATAAATAATTGATGGCTGTATCTACCAGCTGTGTTACAAGTTGCATCAGAGCTCACTAACAGCAAAGCAGAGAGCAGCAGCAGCACCAGCGGCAGGAGGAGGAGGACTGGGACCCCGGAGAAGTACCCGAGCACAGACCATCCTACTGGAGCAGACGATGGGCACGGGAAGGCTTCGGTTTCCTAACTCACACCAGGCTTACCAAGTACACAGCAGAATACTCATTCTGAAAACCATTAATTACCTTTTTCCCCTTAATCTAAGTTTAAAAGGAGTTTGAAGACAATACTACATAATTAATTCACCAATTTATATCATGAAAAGATGCCTCCTTGCCTTAGTGAAAATGTAACCATAACCCTGCACTGAACGGGGATTGCTGGGAAAAGAGCGGATGCCTGCGAACAGCGTGTCACGATGCAAAAGGTAATTATTTAGTGCTGCGGTTCCCTTTAATGATCTAACATTGAGCAATATTGTTTATATTGAAGAGAGCTTGCACCTTTAATTACCAATTACATATACATCATTTTAGAGCCAAAAGAAAAGGACTGTGAAAAGGGTCCTTTAGAAATGTGCGCGCTATTTCTAGGAAGAATTCTTATTAAGGGGGAGCAGAGTGTCAAAATATTAAAAAAAAAAACCACACACACAGAGAGGCACACACACGCATGCAGATACACACGCGGGAGATGGGACAAAGAGCTGGAAAAGACAACACGAAAACAGGAACTGAACCAAGGGTCGTAAGGAAAAAAGGTGGCAGAGGGGGAAAATGCTCCTTACTACTTTCACCTAACATTCCTGTAAAGTCTTCAGGATTATATTTTTAATGTGAGGATTTTTTTCTCCCCCACAATTTAAATTGTGCACTTCAGAAAACGTAGCAAAACTGCTGCATTCGATAAGGGTCCTGACCAGGCGTCTGTGGAAACATGAAGGTGGTTTAAACAGCCAAACTGTTGCGAATTCTTTCTTTTCAGTTCTACACTTCATTTGAATATTAGTTAAATCCACATATGCCTATTCACTTACACTCGCTCACTCTCTCTTTCCAAGGACTCTGCAATGGCACTTTTTTAAAATAACATCTGGTATTCCTTCATATTTTGGCAGTCGTCACATTACCGAAAATCAGCTTTTCGTTTTCTTGGTAAGCCGAGCCCTCATGATCAGTAGTAATTGGGTTTCAAACTATCAAAAGATTTTTTACTCAACTCTATTTCTGATTTGAGCTTAATAAATCGTCAAGCATGAGACCAGCCGTACACCCAACCATGCAGCCTCTATTTTACGTCCCCTTATTTGGGACGTGGAAAACAGACATAAAAGAATGAAAAACAAAATACTGAATAGATCTTCAAATGCATTTTATCCACATCAATTTGCATTATTTTTTTTAGTCAGAATAAAAAAAAAGAAGGCTTCCTATTGATAACTCAATTAAGCCATTAAAAACCTACATTCAAGTAACGTTACAGGAGAGATTTAAAACCCACAAAGGAAAAGAGAAAAAAGCCTGCAAGTCCAGCCCATAACGCATCGGGTCATGCCTGGTTAATACAACAGCCAAGATCTTAGGCTGTTTAAGCAGTCCTTTGATACCAATGGGGCAATTTAGGCCAGCCTCAATCTAAAGTTCTGACTCCACTTGTGTCTGCACGTTTCAAATGTGTTGCTTCACATTATTTGAATTTAACTCTGTGGTTTTATTGCTGTTTGTTGGTAGCTGAGTTTGGGGGGAGGAGGGTGTTTCCTCATGAGCATTTATTTAAATTTTTTTTTTTTTTTTTAAGAAGGAAAAATCAAGCCCCACAAAAAAGGAGAATGGAAAACATCTCATCTCCCTTACATGGGAAAAGGAAAAAAAAATGCAAACGAGCTATTTCCAGCCAGGACTCGTGCCCTGGTTCTTCCAGGTGTGTTAAGGTGTGCCCGGCATTTTCCCTGCACCCGGAGATGCCTCCGAAGAGGGTTGCCTTGGCATTGCCTGCCGAGGGAGCCCGGCAAGATGGGGAAGGTGATCTATGGAGACATGAGTGACACTGTTGTTATCCGATGGCTTCATGGAATTAATGTGAGTGGACAATCTAAATCATTCGCTTTAGTTTGAAAAGCATTCCACTTGCTGGCTGGACTCTAAGCAGCATCTCCAAGCTCTCTGGCTGCCTACCACACCAAAATACAGCGGACAAACTCCTTAATGCCATAAAGGCACTGTCAAAAAACCACCAGCGCTCCTACTTCAGTGTGGTGACATCATTAGAGCATATGTGCCCCATGCAAACAATACTCTCATGCCCAGTATTAAAGCAAATGCACATGCTAACTACTTTCTGCCTGTCAGATGTCTCAAAATTGTACCCATTAACAGTGAGAAAGACTGTCACTAAAAATCATTTCCAAGGCCTCTAAGGACAAAACTGTGGATGCTTGTTCACGGGGTTTGGGTGAGGCCGGGTCCAGGCAGCAATAATACATTTTGTGGTATTTTTTTTGCACTGCAGTACCAAGGTAAGAAGGGATCTGAAAGTTGCCAGCCTATTCTCTTCCTTACTTTTCCCATCCCACAGTATCAAAAGGAGGCAGAGAAAGGGGGAAGAGGGATCAGTTTGGTGTCGGGCCAAAGCGTTGTGTGTGAAACCTCCCCTCTGTGGTCGGTTTCTGTACAAATCGATAACGGGAGGTTTAGGGCGAGCGCTGCCGGTACCTTCACCGCAGATGGTGGATGGGTGCCCTGCCTGCCCCAGCACCCCACTGCAGCCACTGCCTGCCCCTGTGCCCACCCGGGGGGTGAAGCGTGGGTACCTCAGGGGTCACCCGGCTCTGAGACGAGCTGGGGCTGCCCAGGGTCCGCCACAGGGGCACAGCTCCTGGCACGCAGGCACGGGAAGCCACCCACAAGCATGCCACAGCACACTGAGCACGCCATTCTCCACACACAGTCGCTGCTGTCTTGAAGGCACATCCAGAAAGAGCTCAGCCTAGTTGGGGAGCAAGCACAAAGAAGTGACTGGCTTTTCAGGGTGTTGGCCCAAAGCAGGCCTGAAAATGATGTCCCTTCAATCAACACCCACATGTCACATTTACTGTAACATCAACATGCTTAACGGAAATAGCTCAGATCACACGCTCTCTAGCTGGGTTATCGCCGAGATCGGTGTCAGGATCCTCTCTGCACAAAGACTAAGGCTGCTCAAAGCGGGCGACATGGCTCCTCGCCGTCGAAGTTTATCAATAACCTGTTTTCAGAGCCTCCCCACAGCTCCCTGCAGCTGCAAGGTGCAGAGTTGAGCTTATGCCTACATATTGCATCAGCATCCCGCTCAGCGGTACTAGGCACCGCTTATCTGCCATCAATTTTTAATTTTTCTGAGGACTGAAAAACAATTGTTGGGAGCATTTTGTGTTTTTTTTAAATAAAAGTCTGAGGCTGGGTTGGCCCAAAGAGGCAACTTGACCGGGAAGCCCCAGAAACACCGGGC